AATGTTACAGTTTTGCACCCGGGTCATTTTTCAACAAATATATTTATTAATAATTATTTAATAATTAATGCATAGCTCTTTTGACTATTTTGGTCATTAATGTCATTTTCCATCATTTATGTGTACCGTCGCACCATTTCAACAAGAATCGCGCACCAAATGTCCTTGTTCCCATCCCATAGCTCTATCATTCCACTTGGAGCCACCCATAATTTGCAGGCTGCGATTTCAAATGACTCCATATATTTTCAATGATATTCATGTCTGAAGAATATTCAGGACACTCAAGGGATTTGAATCCTTGTCATATTGTCCACTTTTTGACCAAATTAGACGTCTTCTTTGAGTCATTGTTCTGCATTTTTCAGTAGTAAAGCCCATATGCTCACTTAATTCTCCCAAATTCTTTTGTAAAGTGATCAGATACTATCCTTAAACGTTATGCTATCCTTAAAAGTTAATAAACAATAAAGTTCTCTTAGTAAACGCACACTGCTGCCCATGCGTGTTTATGCGTAGGTTCTTGTGTGTGTATGTGTTTGTGTATGTATTTGTGTATGTGTGTGTGTGTGTGTGTATGTGTGTGTGTGTGTGCGTGTTTCTTGTGGAAGCTTAAAGACGCGAAAAATTATTCAAATAGCTATTGCTCCAAGGGTTCACGGAATCTCGTAGTCGAGAATCTCGTAGTCGTAATCGTCTTAATTCTGTTTGAACTGTAGCTGTATTCTATATGATAAGTTTCATTCGACTTCCTACCCTGTCTATAAAAAATTGTACATACATATATATTATCGGGGGCATATTGTGTGCAGTCTACCCTAAACAAGCTAAGAATACCCCCAAACAGTTAGCTGTAAACATTGTGCCTTAAAATAAAATAAAATAAGTTATTTGAGCAACAAACGAAGTCTCTTTAAAGCACAGGTATATTGAATTAATTTAGCTGAGCTAATCTAATAAATCCATAATATGCAGATATTTTATGGACAACAGAACAATGATTTAATATATTTGGTAAGTCTACACATTTTACAATGACAAATGACCCATTTGATGCAGGGTATACAAATAGGGGTTGATATAGGGTTATGTGCGACGCTTTTGTCCCTTCGGAAATGGACGGTGGTCGATGTCAGTTCGTTGTTTTTCGGCTCAGTCCACGAACAGGTGGATACAGTACAGTACAGTAGCGGTTCGGTTGACGCCTGTTTAGTAGTTGCGCAGTGGCGTCAACATTTGGGGTATAATAGGGATAATACGTTAGTTACCCGTTTGGCCATAAGTAGGCTAGGTCACTGAACTTTTCTGACCATTTGCGTGTAGCCAACAGTCACCTGACCGCCCGTTCACACAATACATTTAGCTTTCATATATGACCAATGTTCCCGGTTAGGAATTTTCTCAATATATATATGTATATTTGGTTATTTTTTTGTATGGTTACATATAGGGGTAGCAATAGCTTGCTGACCAGAGAGACAATAGGGTACACAGGTGTAGTCGAACTGGTACAACTGCAGTGTAATTCAAGCAGCTCGTCTGAAACAGTATGGTCGAAACCTTATAATATTCTTTTCGTTCACGTAAACTAGAACAAGTAGTATAATTTAAATAATTTCGTGATATATACCTACTCATTTAAATAAGTTAAGATTCTTACACAAATTCTACATATGAAACTAGTGTTGTCCGTAATGCAAATACTTACAGACCTGTAAAAATAAATATCATATAAATATCATTCTTTGGAGTGTCAGTAAAGTTAAAAGTCATTTATTTCCGGGTTAATATCCGAATTACTATCTATCTTCTCATAAAGTCGTTTATTGAATTATATAAATGGCCACAACTTACACCGAATTACTCACAACAGTTTTTCCTAATTATGCCTGTTAAAAAGCTTGCGAAACACTTAACACCAGAAATACATTAGACCCGCAAAAAACATACATACATGTATGGATCAACTCATTAATGAAGTGAGTTTGTATCAATATTATATTGTACAGCCAATCGTGATCAATGAAAAATAATACAAATAAAAGCATATAACAAATACTCGGCTCCATATGTGCTTGTAACTCCAGGGCTTCGAATTACATACACATTTAGTTTGTGCTTGTTTGCGATTCAAATACGATACAGAAATAAATATAATACAGATATTTATTAAATTAGATATTTAAAAAATGGGTATTTTCTTCTAAATAGCACCATTGAATATACATACATATCCATATAGATGCGTATGCCA